CCTTAGAACAGACATATTTATAGATCAGTAATATTAAAATGATGGGCAAGTTGAGGCAAAACTAGCCTCTTCTGTAATGAGAGAAGGAAGTCAGTGAACCTCTACTGGACAGGACAGTTTGCATGTGTATAGACAAGGATTATTCTGTGTGGTTATCCGTTATCTGTGATGTACAGAGTCATAAAATAGCTTCCATAGAATCAGAATCTGATAGCCTGAAAGGACGTGCCCTATAAAAAAAAAAGTTAAAATATACACTAAAAAAAAAAAAATTGAAGTGTTTTTTCCTACATGAGTTCCCAGAAGCTTTTGGTTTTCTGAGCTCTTTAGAATTATAGAGAAGGGATATAGAGCTATAATACGTTTGAAAGTGATAGTGCTTTGCAAAAAATTAAAATGCAGAAGGAGGTTATAATTTCAAATAGAAGAGCCATGGAAGACTTGCTAAGAAGCTGATCCTATAAATAGAGTTAAAGTAGAAGAAGTTGTTTACCTGAGTAACTGGAATGATGAGGTTGCTATTAACTGAGCCAGGGTAAGAGCAGTTGAGGTAGCAGGCAGGGGAAATGGAGATCACCACCTATTTTGGCCCTTAGATGTTCAAGTAGAGATGTCGATGCAGTTGGGTACGCATCACTGGAGTTCAGGGAAGATGTGTGGGCTAGAGATAAACATTTGGGAGTTCATGCACATAGGTGGCATTTAAAGCCCTCAAACTAGATGAGATCACTAAAGGCAGGGCTTCTTCTGCGTGCCAGACTCTGTGTTAGTCCCTGAGGATACAGGGATAAATTAAAAATTGCCCTCATAGTTTAATGGGAGGCAGTTGTAAACAGTTAAAGCAGCATGAAAATATACTAATATAAATAAACATGAAGTACAGATGTTTCTGTGAAGCCAAATCTCCATTACCCTCAAACTTGCTTGTTCAGTGACCTGACCAAGAAACATACACAGAATATTGTCAAAGTGTGGGACCTTTAATATCAACTGGCTTCTCCACTAACCCCCTGTGCCCAGCAAGTTTCCAGAGCGCCTTGCTGGTGACACTTCTGCACGGCTTACAAGGCTCCCCATTATTTGGCCTTTGTCTTATCTCTTGTTTTACTTCCTTAGACCCATCCCTGGTATTGGAGATGATCAGTTTTGTATTTTTGAAATACAACTTTGACTATAGAGTGAAAGACAAATTCAAAGAAGAAGCAGAATAGGCTTGGGTAGCATTAGTTTGCTATTTCTTTGCCTCATTTGCCTTCATGTAGATGTTGAGTGACTTACAGAGACCTGTAGGGTCGGACTCAGCAGATATGCAGAAATAGAAAGTGTATATTGCTGTAGTAGAAAATACAAATTTGGGGCTGAGGGAAAAATTTCTACTAAGTCCATGCAGTTGCAAACTTTACACTTTTCTCTCCTGTATGTTGTATTAAAAGGAAAACTATATGGTGGCTTCTCAAAAAATTAAACATAGAATTACCATGGGATACATCAGTTTTACTCCTGGGTATATACAAGAATTGAAAGCAAGTACTCAAAGAGGTATTTGTACATCAGTGTTCAAGACAGCATTATTCATTCATAGTAGCCAAAAGGTGGAATCAAGCCAGGTGTCCATGGGATAATGAGAAGGATGAATGGATAAATAAAGGTGCTATGTACATACAGAGCAATATTTTTCTAAAAATGTGTTTACTGAGAGCAGGAATGAGAGAGAGAAAGAGAGAAAGATAGCATGGTGGGGAGGGACAGAAGGGGAGGGAGAGAGAATCCTCAAGCAGACTCCCTACTGAGTGAGGAGCCTGAGTGGGGCTCCATCCCACAACCCTGAGATCACGACCAAGAGTCAGCCACTCAACTGGCTACACCACCCAGGTGCCCCTACAATGGAATATTCTTTAGCTTTCAAAAGAAAAGAAATTCTGACATATGATCTAACATGGATGAACCTCGGAGATGTGTTAAGTGAAAGAAGCTAGACACAAAAGGACCAATATTATATGATTCCATTTTTGTGAGGTACCGGGCATAGTCCAATCCATAGAGACAGAAAGTAGAGTAGTAGAGGGGTTTGGAATGGGGTAATATTGTTTAATGATATTGCGCCTTTTTTTTTTTTAAGATTTTATTTATTTATTTATGAGAGACACAGAGACAGAGAGGCAGAGACACAGGCAGAGGGAGAAGCAGGCTCCACACAGGGAGCCCAGTGCAGGACTCAATCCGGACCCTGGGATCATGACCTGAGCCAAAGGCGGATGCTCAACTGCTGAGCCACTTAAGCGCCCTAATGGTTTTATGTTTCATTTGAGATGTTAAAAGAAGTCTTGGAGAAAGGATAGTGGTGATAGTTGCACAACAGTGTGTATATATTTAATGCCATTGAACTGTACACTTAAAAATGGCGAAAATGATAGATGTATGTCATATATATTTTACCACAATAAAAAAAAAAGGAACCTGGAAAGAAAAAGACCTAAGAATATATCACCCCTGTAATAAAGAAAAAGAAAGATTTCTACATGTTAATATTATACTGACACTGGAGAGAATTTTTAGGGTAGATAGTAAGAAGTACTATAAGGCCAGATAAAATATATATTCATATTTGCTTTTATTTGCATAAAGAAACGCTGGAAGGATTAACTAATAAAAGTTGTTAGTTCCAGCAGGTAAGGAGGACTAAGGTCTGCAGGGGCAGGAGTGGTAATGAAACATCTCAATGGATAGCCTTTTATGTACCCTTGATTTTGGGACCATGTAAATGTGTCACCTATTCAAAATACTCTTTAAACATGGGAGTTAAAGGGCTTTCATTGTAGAGGGATCACCAATTTGTAGTCACATAAAACATAACTTTTTAGAGATATTGATTAAATATTGCTACATGCGACATCCCTTCCCCTGGACAAGTCAGAGCCAGGTTTAGATGCAGAAGTGAGTTTCACCCCCCTTCCACTTCAGGCAACAAAGAGAACGTATTTTTGGGTAGAGACTTTTAATAAAGCCAAACTTTCTAAGTTCATTTACACCAAGAGTCAGAAAGAAAGGGCGACGAGACATTGCACCAGCAGTGAGGCCTTCTACAGTGAGGCAGTGAGGGTCCAATTGCTTGAAGTTGACCATGGCAAGAAGGGTTATTAGACATATTAGCCCCTGAGTCTGGGAACGGAGCCTTAGCCATTCAAAAGCAGGAAACTATCTGGATACAGCTCTGCATCCTCCACTTTCTCTGACTCAGTAATTAGGAGCATACTATGTCTAATGTTTGCATCTGAAGCAAGAAGCAGGATTGTTGAACGTTTCTTGGGCAGTGGGAACAGAGCTGCCCACCTAATTGCCCCCCTCTCTTCCTCCTACCAAGGGAGTAGGACTATTAGATCTTCCCTGGACATTTTCTTCCAGCTCCTCCTTTCCCACCTAGATCCCGTAGGAAGTATGGATAGAATCCTGAGGCAGACTGTATAAAGTAGAAGGCTGTCTAGGGGCAGCCCAGCCCATCCTAACCATTACTTTTTAGCCGTGATCCAGGGCATGTGGGTTGAAGGAGAACCCAGAGAGTCACATCCAGGAACCATGCCCAGATTATAGCTGGCAAAGCACCACCTTCCAGCAAGGTGGTCAAAGTGTAGGTCCAAGAGCAGCAAGAGCTGAAGTACAGAAGCCAAAATGAGAGAATTGATGACCTGGGACACCTAACCTTGAAAGTAGTGAAGAATCAGGCAACCGGGAAGTAATTTATAAAAGTTCCAGAGATGGTAGTTCACGTGATTTTTACATGATCCCAGCAGAGGCACCGAAGGTATACTTTACTCATTTGGAGTTATTAGGAAAAAAAGAAAAATAAAAAAAAAACACACTTATTAGATTGAGAAAGCAGTTCATTCTTTTTCTCTTGTCTCGTTGATCGATTTGTATGTCTGTCTTGCCCATTACACTATAGGAATGGAAGACAAGGATTTTAGCCACACTGGGAAAAACATGGACTTTGAAATTAGGCAGATCCCTTTAAATGCAAACCTATTCTCTTTCTAGGTGTTTGGTCGAGTTATTTTTATAACACTGAACTTCAGCTACCATGTGCACCATAGGGTTGTTAAAAGGATTAAACGAGAGAAAAACCATGTATGTAAAGTCATCCTACACACTGAGAGTATTCAGTAGAGATTTGTTCCTTCTCCCTTTTTGCATGTCCCACAGAGTTTTACATTTAAAAGACATTTAGAATATCACATTGAGTATGCTAGTGTTAAATCTGAACCTGGTTAAGGACAGCCTGAGGGAGGCACGTTTATAAGGTTTTCCTCTTGAACAGCTAAAGTCATTGTTGCTAAATAATTTATCGGACAACGGCCTGTGATGTGCCAAGTGCTAAGTTTTCACTTGCGGATCTGGTCTATCTTCTTATGATTTCCTTCTTCTCAGGGTCCAGCTTCTACTCTGTGAGGGCCTATTCTTTTCCTCTATTTATGGGACTTCTTCTCTACACCACTTTTTTTTTTTTAAATCAGTGGGTATAAAAGTCATTACCTTATGCTCACTGCTTTTCTAAAAAACGTCAACCACATGCTCTAGGCATGGTTAAGTGTAGGGATTGCTAAATATCTTTTTCCTTCTTTTGTCAAATATTTACTGAGCACATACTGTGCTAAGGTAGAAAAAAAACCCCAGAATTAATACGTGATTCCTGCCCCCCCAACAGCATTCCAAGACATATTTAGTTACGTAGTGATATGATATTACCTTTGTTTACCATTTTACATTTTACGGTTTAAAATGATTGCATTTTAAAAACAGACACATACACCTAGGAATAGGATTGGAAGGATGTGTGCCAAGATGTAGCAGAGCTTCTCTCTGAGTAGGGGTATTTCTTTTAATTTTATTTTACTCATCTAGATTGTCTAAGTTTTCAAAGATTTTGCTGGAAAGCTTTAGAAAAATGCATCACTCCCCCTTCCTTGAGAACAGGAGAGTGACCCCTCTCTTCCTCTTGCATTCAGCTATTGCGAGAATTGAAGCACCCGAATGTGATCGCATTGCAGAAGGTGTTCCTTTCTCACAGTGACAGGAAGGTCTGGCTGCTCTTTGATTATGCAGAACATGATTTGTGGGTAAGTCTGAAGTCACTTTATCTTTTAAGGCTGTGTTATCTAGGTATGGAGCAACAGATGTATGCACTACATATTGCTAATGCACGTAAAGGAAAACTTGCTTTGTTTAGAGGAGTTTAAAATAAATACTAAATGAAATGCAGATTTAAAAGGATTTGAGCAATAAACATTGTCATCTTATTATACTGAGAAGGTAGCATTTGTAATATTCAGAAATTTCACTGCAGAAAGTGTTAATGTGCGTGAGATCGTCATTTTATGCAAGTAATCAATGACAGTTTACTGATGAGTGTAACGAAAATTGCTTCCTTTTTTTTTTTAAGATTTTATTTGTTTATTCATGAGAGACACAGAGACAGAGGCAGAGACACAGGCAGAGGGAGAAGCAGGCTCCCCTGCAGGGAGCCCGATGCCGGACTGGATCCCAGGACCTGGGGTCACACCCTGAGCCAAAGGCAAATGCTCAACCACTGAACCACCCAGTGGCTTCCTTTTGTGGTACACACAGTAGTTCAAATTTCACCAGTTATGTACTTGTGAATAATTTCTCTTTCTAAGTTGAGGTCAATCTCTTGCAGCATTTTGCCATTTAAAACCGACTCTACCAAATAGAAGTACATACGTGTGGTTTTGCAAAGATTAGCCAAAAATTCTTTTTTTTTTTAAATTTTTATTTATTTATGATAGTCACAGAGAGAGAGAGAGAGAGAGAGAGAGAGAGAGAGAGGCAGAGACACAGGCAGAGGGAGAAGCAGGCTCCATGCACCGGGAGCCCGATGTGGGACTCGATCCCGGGTCTCCAGGATCGCGCCCTGGGCCAAAGGCAGGCGCCAAACCGCTGCGCCACCCAGGGATCCCTAGCCAAAAATTCTAATTCCAAATTTTTAAAGTTAGAAATCAGGGTATTTTGGATAGTTAAGTTTTGACTTAACGTGGTGTGGTTTATCATCTATATAAATTACACATCTATTTAGGAATAACTTTAACAGACTTATAGGTCTTGAAGGAACTTAGAGAATTTATGCTATTATAGCATATTGACAAAGATGTTCAATGAATTTTTTTCCTTTCTTTTTCATAGATATTCATAAAAGTTGTGTTTTCCCCATTTTTCTGTATGGTTTATATTTCTACCCAGGTTTATTTGATAATGTGTGTACTTCACTTTGAACACATGATATGATGAAAGGACATGTAGTGCATTGGACTAGTTAAGTCCTTAGAACTGTGTTGCCCCATGGTGGCCCCTAGCAACATGTGCCTCTGGAGCACTTGAAGTGTAGCTGGTCTAAATTGAGATGCACTATAAATATAAAATGCATACTGACTTTTGAAGACTTGGTATGAAAAAGATATAAAGTACCTCATTAATATTTTTTATATTAATTATATGTTGAAATGATAATATTTTGAATATACTGGGTTGATTAAAATATATTACATTAATTTTACCTGTTTCTCTTTTTTTCCCCTTCTGATGTGGCTATAAAAAGTTAAAATGTGGGGCACCTGGGTGGCTCAGCGGTTGAGCGTCATCTGCCTTCGGCTCAGGTCGTGATCCTGGGGTCCTGGAATCAATTTCCCCATTGGGCTCCCCATGGAGAGCCTGCTTCTCCCTCTGCCTGTGTCTCTGCTCTCTGTGTGTCTCTCAAGAATAAAGAGATAAAATATTGAAAAAAAAAGTTGAAATATGTAGCTCCTATTATATATATTTTTTGGACACTGGTGCTATAGCACAAACCCTAATTTTCTATTAGTTTGTTAAGTAAAGTACACATTGTTAAACGGTTTATAAACAAGCAAGAAGGGTATGTAAATAGATTAAAATTTTCCCATGCCATTTGGCCATTTTACTTTATTTTTTAAAAATATTTTATTTGACAGAGAGATAAAGCCGGAGAGCACAAGTGGGGCAGGGGGTTGGGGAGTGGATGGCAGAGGGAAAGGGAGAAGCAGACTCCCTGTTGAGCCAGGGACTCCTTACTTCTGGGCTTGACCCAAGGACCCTGGAATCCTGACCTGAGCCAAAGGCAGATGTTTAACTGACTGGGCCATTTTAAAGTTAGTGCCCCCCTATTTGGCCATTTTAAAGGTAGCAGAGCATTGTTGACAGCTTTACCAATATTATTTTAATAGGGGTTTAAATGACCTTTAATACCCATTATGTCATGTTTTGCAGAGGGGTGAGGTGGAGATGGAGGTGGAGGTTTGGGGGACAGGTAGCATTTTTTCCCTATCATTATAATGTTTTTATAACTTAGAAAATAACATATGGACATAAAAATTTGAATATGTTGATACAGTTATATTTACTTCAGTGGGATTGAATTAATCATTTTTCTCTCCTTCCACTGTTTTAGTGATTTCATATTTAATATTAACTACCAGGAATGTATCCTGATTTCATTCTGTGCCAAAAGAAGCTTACCAATAATTCAAATGTACACATAGTCAGTGACATTACACAAATGCTCGAAGTGCTAACTTTTTATAGAATAGTAAAGATTTAGGAGTGCCTGTCTGGCTCAGTTGGTAGAGCATGCGACTCTTGATCTCAGGGTTGTGAGTTTGAGCCCCATGTGTGTGGCATGGAGTTTACTTAAAAAAATAAATAAAAAACCAAGAACAGTAAAGATTTAAGGATCTTTTTTTTTTTTTTTAATCTCTCATTCTGGTAGAGAATAAAACTAGTACTGTTTTTATGCAGGCTTTCAAACATCAATGCTTTTTACCTTTCAGTCCTATTTTATGGAAATCTTAATAGTTCTAGCAAATCGAGTCATTATACCCACAATAACATTGTCACATTCACCCCAATATCAGTGCCATTTGGTTGACCTTGTTATTCAAATCATTTTTCTTTGCATCATTATCGGCCTTTAGTAAGTAATTTTTAAAATGTAAAGAGTTTATTGCAGACTTGTATTTTATTGATATAGATATTAGCAAATACTATATATCATTATAGCATGTTTTATTTTTCTCAATCTTTAGCATATTATTAAGTTTCATCGTGCATCAAAAGCAAATAAGAAGCCCATGCAGTTGCCAAGATCTATGGTTAAATCATTACTTTACCAGATTCTTGATGGTATCCATTACCTTCATGCAAATTGGGTGCTTCACAGAGATCTGGTAAGTATGTTTCTTTTAAATTGCTCAATATGGTTATCCCCTTCTCTTAAAAAATACCTTTTTCGGGATCCCTGGGTGGCGCAGCGGTTTAGCGCCTGCCTTTGGCCCAGGGCGTGATCCTGGAGACCCGGGATCGAATCCCACGTCGGGCTCCCGGTGCATGGAGCCTGCTTCTCCCTCTGCCTGTGTCTCTGCCTCTCTCTCTCTCTCTCTCTCTCTCTCTCTCTCTGTGCGTGTGACTATCATAAATAAATAAAAATTTAAAAAAAAATACCTTTTTCTTCTGGTACAATTATTATAAACATTAATTGTAGAAAATTTCAAAAGCTCATATAAGCAAAAGGGAAGGAAATAAAATCACCCATAAGTCTACAAAATAAAAGATTACTATTATTAACATTTAGTGTATGTGCTTCCACTATATTTATGCTGGCTATAAAGTGTCAGTGTGGTTTTAAACGAATGATTGGGGGAAAAAAAAACCGAATGATTGGTATAATCCTAATGGAATAGTCATATGTGACTTTCTTTTTTTTTTTCATATGTGACTTTCAATACATTTTGTTTTTCATGTTATTATTGCTTCTTATTAGTAAAAACATTAAAAATTAAAGATTGAGTTCTCGTTTTTCTCCTTAAGAGCTAAGTTGAAATAATGACATTGTATCCAGTAAATAGAATGTTGTTACCAGTATTATCAATGAATGTTGTTATAAGTATTATCAACAAATCAAATGTTTGGTTTTACTTTTTTTTTTAGTACACATGTAATAAACATTTATTAATGTCAAATTCTAGTTATCTTTGCATGATTGTCATTTTTAGTTTATGTTGAGATCTTTTTTGTTTGTTCATAAGAAAATATGAGTACTGAATAGTTGTAATATCATGAGTTTAAACTTCCAATTAAGAGAAGTTTTATTCTCCAACTCTCCTTGAAAAAGTGGTTTCATGATCATTATTTCTTAGGCCTGTGGAGATTCTAGGGAGGTGGTGGGGATAAATCTAGGTTGACTCAGTTTTACTAATTGAAGAAAAGTATTTGTTATAGAAAGGAACAATCTACCTGTCAGTCGGGCCTTATCATTGGATTTGACTATCTCTTGCTGTGACATTGACGTTAAATTGGAGCCAAATGACAGTGACCAAAAAGATGGATTTACCATTTCAACAAATGTATTTTCACCTTAAAATTTTGAACTATGATTCTCAAAGACTTCCACCTATCCCCTTTACTGTTAACCATGAATCAGTGCATTTTTACATGGGTACATGGGTTCTAGATGAAAACTTCCATCATAAATAGTTTTAGATTTTTGCTACGTACTTGATGAACCGACGTGAGTTATTTTTGAGGTCATGATCATATTTGAATCATCAATCAGAATCTCTTGAAGATTAACCTCAGCTCTTCTGTTTTTTCCACAAGATTGTATATTTTATTCTAAACAACATAGACTGACAGATTTTATTTCTGATGTTGTCACCTGAGGATCCACTAATACTAAAACTTGGTATGACTAGGACTTAGTTTCATCCTAGTTGATTAACTGCTGCTTCAGCGTCTATTTTAATTATGGACTCACCCTCCTCTCAGCCTAGAGAGTTTTACCTCTTGCACTATACATCTAAACTTCGGTATCCATTACCAAAAGACCATCCAGTCTTGTCAGTTTTACCTCTAACATCTCTTCCATTTGTTCATTTCCATCCTGAGTGTCTCATTCCTAGTTCAGGCCTCTCTTGTCTCTTCCTTGCAGTATGGTGCTAACCTCTTATCTTGCCTCCTTGCAAACAATCTCCCTTCCATCCATTTTGCACCTTCTGAATAATTATATAGCTCCTGCCCTGCTCAAGAACTTTGAAATAGTTCCTCATTGCTTACAGACTAAAGCTCTAGTTCCTTATTGGGCTTTCAAGGTCATTACAGATAGAGCTCCTACTGCCTTCAGAATTTTTCTTTATCCCCGTAATCTTCCATACTTTATACTATTGATTGTTCCCTGTGTCATCCTGAGATTCCCTGCCCCAGTGACCTTTATTTATTACCCCAGCTCTACATATTCAAATAGTGTCTGTCTTTGAGGACTTGCACAAATGTTAAAACTTACCCTCATATCCATTCCTACTTTCAAATCATGTCTCCTTGTTGATTGCTATTGTACTTCTTGACCTCCCTTATGGCATTTATTTGTTAGTATTATAGTAATTTAGGTAGCTGTCTTAGAACATCTTCTAGACCATACACTTCTTGAGAGAGCAGGGTCTGTGATTCATTTTGGCACACTAGTATTACCCGAGTACACAATAGGTCCTGAGGAAATATTTTGTCAGTGAGTGAATATGAGTAAGAATACCGATTATTATGGTATGCTTTTGGATCAAGTAACATATATATATTTCAACACACTGTCCACAATAAACATTTATTATTAGCTTGTATGTTTAAAGCATGAGGGATGGGGACACAAACATTACTCCATCAAAGATCTCCTCAGGAGTTTACTCTGAAGGAAGAATTATGACATACACACAAACAGTTATGCTGTAAGATGAGAAAGAATGTAATTATGGCTATGTGACAGGCACAGACTAAATGCTACTCAAGGTTAGAAGGGGTTATGATGGGGGGATGAGGGAAAGCTTCAGAGAGCTGCCCCTTGAGCTAGACACTGAAGGATAAATAAAACTTAGAGATTTGAGGAAGTGAAGCTTGAGTCTTGCACCTCAGACTACTCGGCCATACTGACCCCCTAAGTAGGGATTTGAGGGAGCAGTGTTGGGTGTAAAAACTTCTGAGGTGAGAAAGCACTCGAAATACCTCACAAAGGGTATGGAGTTGTCTGATTCCAACATGGATAAGCTAAGTTGTGGTAGTTATGTGGTTAAGACTAGAAAGATACTGGTTAGAGCCTGATCAAGGCAGCCCTAGATATCAGACTAGGGAGTTTGTTCTTAGTATGAAAAGCCTATGAGCAACAGGGGTGCCTGGCTGGCTCAGTCAATAATGCATGCAACTCTTGATCTCAAGGCTGTGAGTTCAAAACTCGTGTGTGGTGTAGAATCTACTTAAAAAAAAAAATTGAGAGCAACAGAATGAAAATTTTTTCCTGGGATAAAAATTTTTTCCAATTAAAGGAGCCACCACTGATGATGATGATGATGATGATTATTATTATTATTACCTCATCCATAGCATAAACAGAGTGTTGAAAATATATTCTGAATGTGGTTCTGACCTCAGAGCGTATTCATAATTTACTCAACATTCACTGAATGCCTCTATTCTTCAAGTAAGTAACTAATAATATTTGGAACTTTGAACTAGTAGGAATGTACCTGTGGGCAGCCTGCTTATTAGTTCTTTTCCCTGATCATGAATCCATGAGAGCTGAACCATATTGTCATGGTTTTGCTAAAGTTATTTTCAGGAGTAGATGATTTAAACTAATGTTTACTTTAGATATATTCTGTATTAGGTATAGAAATATAAAGCATATCAAATATAAATGTGTTAAACATGTGATGTGGACATTTGAAAAATTATTTTTGTGTGTGAGCTTAATAGAGTTGCAATTTTAGTCAGTGAGTGGTTTATTATTTTTAATGCTTCATTTCCTATTGCTATAAGAAATTTGGCTTAAAAAAAGAAATTTGGCTTTACACTATTTGTTAGTCACAATTGTTTCAGAGTATGGATCTGGACTGTCTTTAAATTTTCATTTGACGATATGTGAAACCTGCAAGATCCATATAATTACAGGTGTTAGAGTAAATGTAAGTTTGCAATGTATTAGTATGACCTCCAAAATTTAAAAAGTAGATTATAATCAGTGTTTTGGACTCTACAAACAGAGACATTATATCATCAAAGAAGGCTGGGATTTTTCATTGTGATTGATTACATATCCAGAATAGTATTTAGTTATGTCATTTGGATCCCAGAATTTAAAACCAAAATAGAGAATTTAAATAAAGTCACTAAAAAGATTACTTATATTGAGGAATTGCTTTAAAAGGAAAGGAGAAGAGGAACTAAATATATTCATCTTGGCCAAGACACAGAAAAGTAGAGACATGAGTCTATAAATATTTGGAACTTGTAAACACCAAGGGAAAAAAGATGTATTTTAATTTTACAGCAGGATATAGCTAAGAGTAAGAAGATGAAATATAGGATGACTCACTTTTATGAGATTACTATTCTGGTAGGCTGGAAGGATGCCAAGATATAGTTTATACCTTTTTCAGAATTATGAGCTTCTGGGGAACAAGGATCATATCTTACTAATTTTTGTATTCATAGTGTTGGTATATTGTTTGTGTTTTAAGTTGCTTGAATTTCAGCAAAGCATCTGGCAATCGCATATTATTCTTTAGCAAAGGTAGAGAAATACTGGCTAACTGATGGTATTGTTAAGATTTATGGCTCCTTAGTTACTTGGTAATTGCTACTGAATCAGTGGCATAAACTGAACTATAAGTTAAACTATCTCTTTGTCACTTTCATGTCCCAGTACCTAACACATGGTTAATGCTAGGTCTTTCTTTATTGAATGAAAGATCTGAGTAAATGCTCCAGGGCCCTGGCCCGCTCTGTCTTTTAAAAAATATATGTGGGGGTCCCATCCCAAAACTCTACCTTCAGGTTTGAATGGGTAATTATTGTTCACAATAGCGGGTGAATTTGTACTCTTTTGAAGTCTATGGGCACAAATAACTATATTGTCCTCAAACATGATGAAATTTTATGAGATTCTAGTTGAGGAGGAAGATAATTTTGGATCCAGTAGTCTTTTGAGTATTGTTATTAACATCTACCAAACATTTTAGGACTGTCAAAAAATTGCTTCTGTCATAGACCTAAAGACTTATTTTATTAGAAATTAACAGTAATAATAATGCATAGTATAATGTACCGATTATCCTTTCCTTTTTGCAAACAGTGATTTATTTCCAGAATTTGGTATACGTTCCTTACATTTCCCCTCCTGTCCTGT